AACTCTGACCAACCTCTTTTTCAGAGATGCTTTCCTGGGTGAAGTAGTCTATCTGCTCACCCGACTGCAGCTCGGCATCACCAGTGGATTCCTCCTGAGATGACTCAGTCTCGTCTGCTTCGGACTGCTCAGAGATGTCAAGATGGAAGGATTCTTCAGTTGCATCCAGTGTTTCTCCAGCAGGTTCTTCTTCAGGCTCGGCAGATTCCCCGCTACACTCTTCGGCTTCAGCTTCCATGAGGTCGTCTTGCTCCTCGTCACTGTCATCGTCATCATCATCTTCGTTGGTGGTTCCCATGATTTCTCCAATATCCTCAACCTCATCTACCACCTTATTGATCAGAGATCGCCTGGAAGCAGTAGACTTGTTACCGCTGCTAGTTAGTTGGGGAGAAAAGATGGCTGTTGCTGCGCTTCTGTCCCGTTTAGGAGTGGACGCACTAATTCTTTCCAGAAGGTGACGCGGAGGGCTGGTCAAGGGAGAGGGCCTTTCTTCAGACTGGTTCTCCTCCAAAATCATAACGGAATGGTCTTCATCCTCACTGTCTGAAACAATTCTTTTTAAACATTTCTTTCTACGAAAAGCAAAGACACCGCAGCTTTCCTCCGATGCTTCACTCCCTTGCAGGGAGTTATTTGGCTCCTCTTCAGCTGTGTGACAGGGTTTTCCACAGTTACCATTCTCACTTAGCCAAGTTTTTGTCGGAGATTTTAAAAAACTTTCTGCTTTTAATTGGAAGCTGTCATTTTCTGGGTGCTCCAGTGATCAAAAAAAATTCCCTATTTGAGGCGTCTTGCCATCCGTCTTCAGACTCTTCCAAGACCAGATTGAAGTCGACTTGATCCTGGAGAGAAGGCACAGACATATCCTCCGAGCTGGCTTCCAACACATGAGACTTCTGGAGCCCAGCATGGATTTCTGGCGTAACGTTTGATAAACTTGGCACTGCAGCAGCCAAAGCTAGCTCAGAAACGTCATTCTTATCTGTCCCCAAGGCCGCATGTGGGTCAAGTGCCTGATCTGACATTTCTGCATCTCTTAACCCTTTGGGTTC